TCACGCATACAAGACCAACACATTTCACACAAACTAAAAACCTACACAATTCACGCATCACAAGACCAACACATTTTACACAAACTACGTACACATTTCACACAAACTAAAGGACAACACTGCACACACTACATACACATTTCACACAAACTGAATACCTATACTTTTCTTGCAAGCTAACGACGTGCAACTTACACACAAACTACGTACATGTATTTCACACAAACTGAAGACCAACGCACTTCACACAATACATACACATTTCACACGAACTAAAGACCTACACATTTCTCACAAGCTAAAGACATTCAAATTTCACACAAACTAGATAAATTTACACAACCTATAGACCAACACACTTCACACAAACTTAAGAAACCACCACATTTCATTCACAACTACATACACATTTCACACAAACTAAAGACCTACACATTTCTCACAGGCTAAAGACATGCAAAAGTCACACAAACTAATGAGCTACACGTCACTCCTTACACACCATTCCTGATTACTTCGGTAAAGCATACACAGCTAAAGATCTACATATTTAGTGCAGAATAATAAACATTTTACATAAAATAAAGACCTACAGTACAAGTTTTTTTCACAATCTGTGGAATTATTTACTGCAATCTCTACTCTCGTAGTCATTTATCTTACTGACATTATAGATGCCACATAACAGAAAAATCTTCTATTTGCTCATTTTGAAATATTGCAAAAATACTGGTAATCCAATTTATATGTTATAATATTTTGGGGGAATAACAATTGCTTAGTGGTGGTTTGTGCCTCTAGAAAACTATAAGGTCTATAGATGATTCCATAAATAATTAATGTTGATTTTCTTATCAAAATGTTCAATAATATTGTTTGTTAGTTATATCATTCGCTTAACCCTATACCATAGTGTTTAGTCAATCGTATTTAGTGAAATTGCCCAATGATTATAGACTAAAAAACAATGTTTCCAAACAAGCCCTATCAACCCAAAATCTTGTATTGTAAGTCTATGATAATAGGCTCTTATATATATTTTTGTCCAAAAAGAAGTGTAAAGATAATTAAGAAGGCCATTTTTCAAACTTTGATAACTTACCTGGACGCAATGAAGCAATCAAAAACAAATTTGGAACATTGATCTGTCGGTTATATATAGAGATTTGGTGGAATACACAAAACAACCTGTATCTCTTATTTGAGACGCGACTTAGTGCTGCTATTCGTAGTGTGTGGAGATTGTTTAATACTAAAGTTTTCTATTAAATTTATGCAGCCAAGCATTGTAATTATTATCAGGCCAAAATAAATATAAACCTGACGTCGTGATTTGTGATTCATGATGCTCCCGTCATGTTGCTCACTTATTGTTAAACATATCCACAGTTGGCTAAAAATATGAAATTGCGGACTCGCCCATATTTTCTTGTCCATCTTATATCACTCAACTAGTTCCTCGATGTGTTCCATCTTGCAGCCTTCATATCATTGCTATCTGTTCCTTGCTTCCTTACTAAGACTTACGGTGGTCATACTTTTTCTTGGGCTGCATCTTCTCTTTGGAATGAACTTCCATCTTTTGTTAAAGACTCGTCCTCCCTTGATTCTTTTAAAATAAACCTAGACTTATTTGTTCACCAAATTTCAGGGTACAATGCGCCTTTGATCATTGTTTTGGAATTGGCGCAATATAAATTGTCACCATTTTCACGAAGAGACACAAACTTCAAAAATCATATTTCTTCAATTTTTTTTTTTTTCACATTTTCATTATGTACATCGAACTTTACCTTTTCATCTAATTTTTAAGAGTGGAACTACACTAATTAGCTAAAGCTAATTAGCCATTGTGCACAAACCAAGAAAAATGGATTTTTCGTTTATTAAAGGGCGCGTGTGCGGCGTTGTGATCGTTAGGCAAGAGATTTTCCTAGCTTACCTAGGCATAGCGGTACCCTTCTTGCAGTACAGCTTGGGATTGGTCTATACACGTGCATCAAATGTGGAATTATTCGTAAACATAATGAATAAAGAAGGATAAGCTGAGATTGTAGGCCTGTTTTGGTCCTTGACTACAATGGTTAGCACATAGCTAAAATACAGTTTGTGCAAGTTTGTACCTTAACAACGGGTGCGCGTACAGTGCGCACCGTTTTCATGAAGAGGCACAAACTTCACTCTACGTGTAAACAACATTTGCTGTGTTTATTCTGATCGTTTTCACGAACATACACAAACTTTTCACACTAATTAACAGGTTGATTAAAGTTTAGAAAAGAAAAATAAATTACACATTTGGATTGTTTAATGCTTTATCTTTATGTAAAAAAATATTCAAAATTTCGAAAAAACATTTGATAGTGAAATTTACAGATTTGTGAAGTAGTCCACTTCAAACATTTTTTTCAAAACTTTTTCGTCGAAATTGAAGTTTGTGTCGCTTCGTGAAAACGGTGACGAAATGTTTGATTGATTGATTATAACCATATTCCAATCCCGATCTTTGCGGCATTCTCTGCTTACTCTGATTTGCTCTTACTCTAATTCCGGATTTGAAAAGTGTTTCCAGGTGCTCGGCTATCACACTACAACATGTCACAATATGTATGCCTACTTTTGAAAATAAAGTGTGACAATACATAGTCTATAACAAACTGTGTCTGTATCCAAAATTTTACGTTGCATAGTTTTGCACGACCATCTTCATAAAACTCCACCTCCCAAAACCACTGCAGCATTATTAAATTCCAATGTTCCACACCCGCATTCAGTTCAATTTGATGTGACATAGCCAACCCCTATAATTTTGTTTGGGCCTGAGATAGGTGTAGCCGATCTGTCGTAGAAATGCCGACACCTCCATTGCACCAATACCACCATAGCAATGCAACATTAGAATCCACTGTGTTTTTCTTCAGCAGTATAGATAGTAAGCCAACCAGCACTGACAAATCTCAAAAATTAATTCAAAAAGTATTATGAAATGGAGAGCAACAAGCCAACCTCAACATTTTATTAGACATTCAATAAAATGTAATCATATTTTTAATGCTTTGTGTGGCACAATTTGATGGACGATAAATTCTTGTAAATTCTAAAACACATTTATGATAATCCAACTTATAAATTAATGAAGTTTAATTCCCAAAATAAACAACCAGCAGTAAATAAAAAAAGATCTTTAAAATTGCAGTAGATTTCAAATTACAATTTGGTATTTTTAAAAAAAATATATTTTTCAAAATATAATTTGTTCTTTGTGACCATCTTACTGCAGATGGTTAGGGATCTTTAAGCTGGGTTTGCAGTTGCTGTTACAGTGTGTTTTTAGTGATTGTGTTACAAAAAAATGTGCATTTTAAAGGCCATTATGGCATGTAATATAGTCATTCTGACATCAGGTCTGATTTACAATAAAATAACTTATTTCCACACAATTAAGTTTTCAACCAAAGGGCTGTTTTATAAAAAAGTTGTGATGTAGAATTGACAAAAGAAGCATCCAACAAAGATTTAGAAGGATTATTCATGAAATCAATACATGCCGTACAATTAATGAATGAACAATGAAAATATACCTATACAATATACAGTAAATTATTTAATACTGTGTACGATTAAATACTAAATACAGATTGAATATTGAAATTTACCAGGAAAAAAAACCAAATAAATAAAAATATGTTGGTTCTTAATGTTTATTTAAACTAAGTTTAATAATATAAATAAGTTGTATATAATCCCTTTATGGCATTGCTTACATAAAGATCAACATGCACACATAGATGATGAATCCTTGGCTAATAAATTATAAATCCTTTGATAATAAATTATTACTGTAGTAGTATTATTTAAAATTATTAGCTTAGCTAATGTGCAAAATAATGGCCGTATTCAACTGGTCGTTGTTTGTTAAACCACACCTGCCTGCGCAGTTGTAAAATCATTTTAAATGAAGATGACCAGTCGAATAAAAAATAGGTAAATGCTCAACAAAACAAAATGGCTGCATAGCTACCACGATACATGCTGCGTAATCAAGGTTGCTTCAGCTTTTGGCAGTATGGGTTTTTCGTAAAAAAAATGTTTCTATCCAGTTTTTTTTATTCTGTTAGCCTACAAATATTGTTTTACTTCATGTGGGTAAATGTTATAATTTTTATCTTCTTAATTTAATCTAAATTATATTAACGCAAATGTTGTTGAAAATCTGACCAATCGGCCATGTGTGTTCTGCTGACGTGGATAACTTAACACTAAAGCTCTCTGATTTTTGTTATCGAACCAGTCAAATGGAAATAATACTCAACAAAATGTACCAGTCAAATAAGCCCAATGAAAAGTAATCAAATTTTAAGAAAGACTACTGTTAGATATTTACAAGCAGAAAGCAGTACAGTACATACATATAAATATTCATTGGTGTAAATGTCACGTGCATAGCCATTCAATGAAAAAGGTTTTTTTATTGATCGTTTTAAAAAGTGCCCCTGGCAGAAATTGAACCTCCCATCTCTCGCTGTCATGGCGAGCATCATAGCGCTTGGCCACAGAGGCTGCTGGTATGTCCTGGATACAATCCTACCAGCACAGTTCTTCAAACAACTGATAAAGTTGGGCTGAAGTGAACTATTTAAGTAACATCAAATTTGCTGCATAGCACTGTGGTTAATAAATAGTAAAATAATGGTAGAAACAGTCCTATGCAGCAACATTGTACATTTATAAAGCATGTGATGTTGCTTCAATGCTACATTGGTCAATTACACAATGTATACCTTTTTACAATGAGTAGTGTATGAACAGTTTTAGGCCTAGGCACTGGTTGTACTACAGTATTGGGGTATTCTCTATTTTTGTGTACACTAGCCTTCATAATTAAGAGCTGCTGCTTTGGTTATATATCTCATGCATGTCAATGTATGAAAGGTGTGAATTTTAATCTTTTAAAGGACTATTCTTTTGTTTCCTACACTATGTATCCTTACTCATTTTAGGTTAAGGTATGGCCATAATTCTACGACTTCAAGGACTGCCATGGTCTGCCAGTGCATCAGACATTCGACAGTACTTCTCTGGCCTTAACATCCCTGATGGTGGAGTACACATTGTTGGAGGTGAAGAGGGTGATGTGTTCATAGCCTTCGCAACTGATGAAGATGCTAGACAAGCAATGAGACGGCAAAAGGAACCGTTGATGGGGATGCGTGTTATGATTCTTCTTAGTAGTAAATCTGAAATGCAGGAAGTGATTGCAAAAAGCCGGCAGGCCCAAGGAAGGGATCCATTCCAAGTAGATGCCCAAAGTGTTACAAAAGAAAGTCCTGCAGCCATTGATGCTGCTCCTTCAGCGGTTAAAAATGATTATTCTGGGCAACAGACATATGATAGAAGAGACATGAGTTTTGCTTCACCGATGTCACCTGATCCTTCTCAGGGAGGACGACCGATTACAGGAGACGCTTTTCAAGACCGCAGAATGTCTGACCAAGAGGCACGAAACAGAAAATATGAAACTCCATTTGATGATCCTTATCCTCCTAGAGGAATAGTCCCAGAAAACGGTTCGTTCGGCCATGCAGAAGGCAGGTCAAGAGAGTACCAAGACCAAGATACACGAACTCCACGACAGGCATGGCAGCGTGACGCCTATCCAGATGGAAAAAGAGATGCCGGCCAAACTAGTTTCATTGATTCACACCAGCCTTATTACTCAGATCCACCTCGAGGTGATGGCCTTCTTGGAGATGTTCCTGGTCATCGAATTGCATCGCAACCTCCAAGAGCACCACCTTCACATGACCAGAGTTGGCCAAGAGGTGATCCTCGAAACAAAGACCCTTTCACACCTGATCATAGCAGAGACAATCCTACAGATGGACCCTCGGTGCCATTCAGTCAGCGTGGAAGAGAAGACCCTATGCAATTAGGCCAAAGATATGGCAGGCCAACTCATCCACAGGATCCATTTGAAGGTGCTGGAAGAGACTTTGTACGGGGTGAGTATGCACATGAGCCAGGAAGAGAAGGACGTCCTCTACGAGATAGAAATTTTGGACCTCCAAAAGAAGGACCACTTGTACCAGATGATCCTAGTTTACCACATGACATCGCTTATCAACACGAGCTGGAAGAGTCACTTTCGGTGTACCTTAAAGGATTGCCATTTACTGTAAAGGAACATGAAGTTGTTGACTTCTTTCGTGGATTGCGCATTGCTCGTGATGGAATCAAATTTGTGATTGATCCACGTGGAAGAATAACTGGTGAGGGATTTGTCAAATTTGTCTCTAAGCGGGATAATGTTGAAGCCTTAAAAAGACACAAAAGCTATATGACTAATCGATTTATTGAAGTCATTCCATGTACAGAAGCTGAATATCAGTCAATGAAGCCACCACGGTCTGTATTGCCTCCAGATAGGCTTGGACCTGAAGGACCTCCTCCAAGAGGTAGAGAAATGTTTCGAAGGGATGAAAATCGTGGTATTCCTGGTCTTCTAGATATTCCAACTCAAGAGCCTTTCACACCTCAAGATAGAGACCATCGAAGAGATATGCCTCCTGGTGGAAGGGATGGACCTGGTAATTTTCAGCAGAGAAACAGAGGACCTGGTGGTCCTTATTTTAGAGATCATGAAGGAGGGCCAGGAAGAGAAGGCTTTCATCCAGGCAGCAGAGAAGGAGGCCCAATTGGAAGAGAGAGGGGTCCTGGTATGCCCCACCCACGATTTAGGGATGAGGATGAAAATCCCATGGAGGCAGGTATGCCAGGTGTTTTACATGGAAAAAGAGGCCAGCCAACTGGACGTTACGGTGGAGACAGAATGGAGTTTGATGAATTTGGCAATAGAATCCCTGCAGATTTACATGGCAGACCTGAAATGCCTCTTGGAAGGCTTCCAGCACCATTTGAGAGAGACTCAGGACGACAAATTGGCCCAATGGGCAGGGATGTTAGAGCTCCAGAAGGTAAATATGAGTGGGAAAGAGGAAGGCCAGAGGCACCCTTTGAAAAGGATCATGGGCGTGCACCAGGTTATTTTGACAGGGAACGTGGGCGCCCAGATGGACCCATGTTCGAAAGGGACAGAGGAAGATTAGAAGGTCAGTTTGAAAGAGACTATAGGCATCCAGGTGGTCCAACAGATAGGGATGGTGGATTTGACAGGGAACGAAAGCGGCCTGAACGTCCAGGTGAAAAAGACAAGGGAAGGTCTGATGGTCCAAGTGAAAAGGAAAAGCAAAGCAGATTAAGCCAAAGAGAACCAGAGAATCTGCAAAGCCGAACAACTACACCAGATATGAGAGACAAAGTACCAACTTCAGAAACCAGTTATGTACGGAATAAAGATAGAGATAGAGGCAGTTCTGACCGTGGATCTTCTAGAGAAAGAAATAGATCTGACAGAACAAGATCAAAAGAAGGAAGGGACAAAAATAGCTCTGGTGATGAGCGTTCTAAAGATAGAGTACCAACTAGAGATAAGCATGTTCATAATGGACCATATACTACCCGTAATGATCATTCTGACAGGGATCGAAGAAGGTCACCATCAAAATCATCTCGTTCACATCGTGACAGGTCACGATCCCCAATTCGAAGCATGTGTGTAGAAATAAAAGGAATTCCATTTGAATGCCAGACTGAAGATATATACCAGTTCTTCAAAGGATTACAAGTTGCTTCAGAAGGCGTATTCATACCATATGATAGCAAGACTGGGAAAACCACAGGACAATGCTATGTTAACTTTGCTTCAGAGCAAGATGCACAAAATGCATGCAAAAAAACAGGGAGCACTATTGGTCATAATGTTATCGATATCTACAATATCCCTAAAGAGATCATGGAAGTAAGAGTAAAAGAGTATAAGAAACGATTGATGGATAGTACCACCTCATCAGCTAAAGTCACACCTGTCACTAATTCACCGCAGAAACAAACTGAGAATGGTAAAAAAGCAGAGCAGTGTAATGTAGTGAAGATGGAGAACGTACCGTATGTGTGTACTCTGGATGAAATATTCTCGTTCTTTAATGGTTGCCAAATTGCACGAAGAGGGATCAATTTTATTCGACATGTGGATGGCATAAATGCTGGAAAATCAACTGGGGTTGTCTTTGTGGAATTTGTAAATGAATCAGATGCTACTAGAGCTAAAGCTCGCAATGAAAATCCCATAAGAGGAAGGAATATAACAGTAACTGCTGCAAGTCGTGAGGCCTTTGAAGAAGCCATTGCAAATCAAGCTAATCGTTTAAATGATAGAAGACAAGTCAATAGAGATTCAGATGACAGAATTCCCCATTCAGGACCACAACGACATGGTCCTAGTGGACCACAACCTTTAATGCCAAGGTTTGGAGGGCCATTACATATGAGACCAGGCATGGGGCCTCCAAGGTTATCACGACCAGGTAGGCCTGGTTTGGTACAGGGAGGACCTCCCAGACAGCCTCATAGTGGTCCTCGCATGCCTGGTGAAGAAAAGAAAGGTCCACCAGAAGTGAACATCCAGAAGCTTGGCAACAATAACTGTGTCATCGGTATTACCAATCTGCCTATAGATATTGGCATACCGGCCATCTTAAATTTCTTCCAGGATTTCTCACCCCTTCCAAACTCTGTTAGGCTGCATTTCAGCAACTCTGGTCAGCCCACAGGAGATGCCCTGATTGCATTCCCAACGCCAATGCTAACTAGGTCTGCCTTGGAAGAGCTGAATGGTGCTATGTATGGAGGGAGGCCAATTGGTCTAAAGCTTACACAGGTACATGGTTTTATCTTTTAAAAGTTTAATTTCATATTTTTAATATACTTTTCAAATGTTTTAAATTTAAGTCAACAAAATATTAAATTATTAAATTTGTATAGTAGTGTCTGTTAAAACATTTTACGAGATCCCCATAATGGATTATTGTACTTAGTCAAATTGTCTTTCTGTCTCAAATTCTCTCCAATATATGTCCAACATATGATTTAAATTTGTAAGTATAATTCTTAATTGAATGGCTTATTTCTTACAGCCCCCACCTGGTGTTATGTGAGATGTCAACCCAAACTACCATCCAGCTACAATACCTTGATACTGTACTGTAATATCAGCATTGTCAAATTAATTCTTCCACGTTTTTTAAAATATGTTTGATGTTGTGTACGGTTAACAACACTATAATCAGTTCATCAAAATTTTTTTCCCAACATCATAAAACATCCATGATATAATAACAGATGCTACATACAGTAATATGAAATCAGTGTTTAGGGAATAGGAATGAAGAGGCTAGAGCAGTGAAGTTACAGCTAAGAAAGTTGAATAGTTTTGTTTCTATTTGGTCATTACAGTATGTATTCCAGGTTGAATTAATCTTTATTTTCTATTGGCTTGTTATTTTTTATGCACATATTAACCTATAGCAACGGGGCCTATCATCCTCAAAAAGTATCCCCTTCTAATTCAGAAAAGCAAGCATACAGCCAAGGGTACAACCAAGGGGACAACCTTCTTCATCTCTGCTTGTTAAATGAATAAGTTCGTGGACCCACCCATAGTATTGGTACATGCATCCAATTACACCTTATGAAATATGGGTGGTCTGTCCACCAAAATTTGTTATTTTGAGAATATTGATACTCAACAACTCACCCTCAAATTCAACTTCACCTTTGAGACAATGAAAATGTAGGGTGGTCTTGGGTTTCAATTTCCAATTGATGAGATAGATTTGTGTCAATAGGTTGAAGATGCTGCTTGCATAGTCTCTAAATTAGAGGGGTCTTTGAATTTTATAGGCCTTGAATTAAAGGATGAACTCTAGTTGAAAAAAATAATCTTTGCATTTGTTGCCTGAATTGAACCCAATTTAATAGCAATTGAGAGAAGCATCTTTACCAACAAACCACAATTTGTTTTTAATGCAAATCATATTTTGAAAACAACCTTAAAATTATTTTAACATGCTGAAACTGTTACTGTACTTTGTCATCACACCAAATTTTAAAGGTGGTCTTAAAAAGTCTTATTACTGAAAATAAGCAGCCATGGTCAGTATAATTTTAACATATATTTTTATTTCTATAACATGTTGCTATCTTCATCCTTAAATGGTGAAGAAACCACCTTATCTAAAATACCGTATTTATTTGAATAAATACTCCAGGACATTTATTATTCAGTAGGTAACACCTGGGGCGTTTATTGAAGGGAAGCATTAATTCAAAGCAGGGCATTTATTCAAATAAATACGGTAATCTAAAACGAAAATAGATAAGCAAACATTCTACTTATTAAAAACATCATAAAAAAAGGGACTATTGTAAATATAACGAATTGTAAATAGTGCTTTATTTCATTGGTTATCATTGATACTGTATTACTGTTTATGTTATTGTTTTTTTTTATCACTGATAGCAATTTGGTTTTTAGTATCTACCCACTAATTTTTATCACAACAGAAATTAAATGTAAATAGTTTTAGGTGTTTGAAAATCTGTAATTTTAAAGTTATGAATGTTATCATAATAACTGTTAAAATGTGACTTGGAAACAGTAAACAATGCTATTAACTGATCATTTAGTTATACACACAATTAGGAGCAAATGGGTAGTTACCTGCAATTTAGTTTGAAAAAAACAAAAGTTTTTACTTATTTTGTGTTAGTGGAAAGTGATTTAAAGTGATATGTACATAATTCTCCTTTTTTGATCTTCAAAATATATAGGTCATTCCTTTGCCTTCACCATACTTTAAATTAATTGAATGTCTTTTTTGGGACTGTATATTAATGCTGTATTGTGCTATTGAAATATAAATTTTGAAAAAGAAAAATCATAAAAACGTTATTGCATTTCAATAAAAAACATAATTGTTCTAGACTTGCAAGTTATACATGATTTAAAGAATTAAGCTTTGTTTATTTTACATGTGGAAAGTACATGATGCAAGATAGGATGAGAAGCTTTGTTTGTTTTTTTTGTGTTTTTACATGACCCAACCAACATCAGAAGTACAGTACCTGTAATTACAAAAACTGGGGCATGGTGTTGCTATAGTAACTGAAGCAATTTAATCAAGAAATCAATAAATGTAGCAATTTCAGAATGTTTTAAACTGTCACGTTTGTGTAGTCAATAAATCAGAGTTGATTTGAGTCATATTTTTTGGTTTTATAATTATTTTTTTTCACTCGTATATTTTAAAAATCACAAGAATATTAATTACAAAATCAGAAGATAAGACTTGGGGGACTTGCATAATATCAATCCTGCAGCTGTTGAGTCACTGAAAATTCTGCCATTATCAGCTTCTCTATGTTTCAAAGATTATATTTTGCACTTTAAGTGGTCTGCTTCATGTAGAAACAGCGATTTTGTGACATTGATCACTGAAATTTACTTAGCAGTGAGGGGAATTGAACCTGGGACCTAGAGATCTCCACGTTTCGGCGCTCACATGGTGGCTACCACCAGATTTGCTGACTGAGCTAAGCTGCTCCATCAATAACAATAAAGAATAATACATTCAGTGGTGGATCTAGGATTTAGCAATAGGGGAGTGGATAATGGGAGGCAAGAAGCACCAAGCGGGGAGGGGTGTCCCCTCCCATTTGAGATTTTTTTGGAATTAGATGCCTAGACGTTCTTAGCCTACTACACATAATATGCACACGCGAGAAGCACACACTCAAGATGAGTGACCATATTTTTTTTAATGGTAAAAGAAGGGGAGTGGCTAGCCACTCTATTCACACCCCCCTAGATTTGACAGTTATGTTCATCATCATAGATGCAGAGATACACCTCTAGAGATTTACTTCGAACTGGAATGGATCGATACAATACAACATTATTTCTATCAATTCTCATTTCATATATTTATTTTTTTCTAAAACTTCAATAAATATGTACAGTAGATGAAAGCATATTCCATCAACGAATACATGTATATAACAAAATTAAGTAATAACTGGTTCGTTACTGCAACTTAACTTATGTTAACACTCATTTTTTGTGACCTTAGAAACTCATCCTTGGGGGTAGGGATTAGCAGAAAGGTCCATTAGTCACACAAATTCGGCAATAAGTAACGTAAAACTTGAATGTACTGTATGACTTTAGTTAAAGGCAGTAGGTATGTATGTTACCTAACCAAATGATTGCAGATCCAGATGACCCTACTATCACCACCCCACCTATATTGAAAATCCTGGATTCCACTTTAAACATTTTTTATGTTGACAATATTTTTTAATTTTGCCATTTTAAGTAAATATTGATTTGTTCCCAGTCCGAATCCCCTCAGAACTTTTGCCAATTAATACAATGTAGCCCCCCAATTGTATTGTTGAGACTGAGTCAATCAATATAGTAAACTACAGTTTGAAAATAGCCTTATAATCCTTAAATATACATTATACAACATATACTGTACACTATATTCAAACAGTAACACTTCTAAATTCCGGCACACTGCGCCAATGTTTTTAGCCAAAGTGACTCCATAGAGAACGCAACAGGACAAAGCACTTGCAGCGAATAGCTTTTTTTAATGGCAATTCAATCAAACTGCCATAGACAATCAGCAAACAGTGTTTCTTCGTCAAGCGCTCATAGAAAATAATGGTGGCCAACTGCCATACAACGCAGTATGTGTGCCTGGCGATAGAATGTTAAGAATATTAATCACATATTAAGTATTGTTAAATTCAAGGTTTTATAAAACATGGTGATGTCTAAATTGGATAATACAATATAGTACATTAAAATTCAACTCTTGCTGGTTTAAAATATGTAATAAATAGTGCAGCTAAAAATCTATAATTTAATTTCATCAAGTCCAGATATATACGATAGGATTTTGATATATAAAGTTAAAAACATCACAAGGTGGATTGCAGAAATTGTATTGGTTAGCATCATTCCCGAATTTAATAAATAGTAAAACACCCAATCTACTGATCAGACACTCACAAGGTGATGTATGCAGTACACTCAGAAGCAGTGGTGGCACCAGAAGGGGTCAGGGGAGGGCAATTTCTTCTGTCAAACATGAAACCGCAAACTTATTGTGTTGCCAATCTGTAGTGTTGTGGTCTAAAAGCACAATTTCGGGCTATCCTACACCATAACATTTTTTCCACATTAACCCCACCAAGGATTTTATTCTAGGAACCAGACGGAGCCTCCTTGGTTCAGATCCTCCAAACAGAGTTGCTGGACTCCTCTGCAGCAAACTTCTGGAGTCACCACTGCTAAAATATTAATACAGTATCATACTAAAACATTAAACATGTGACAAGCCTTAGGTTTCCTTAAAATCGCTACAGTGTTTTCAGTGCAATCTTTGTACTGCATTGCAGTCCCCAACGCAATCGGGTAGGCTCCCTGATTCGACCGACCAATCAGCATCATCGAAAGCTGTCGGTGATAGCATGTAGCAATTGTATGGAAACCAAGCTACAGAGAAATATTCCTGTCATTTTTAGTTAATCTAAAGTATCTAAGTCCTGATTATCCCTACAATATCTTTAATCATATAATTATTGGCCAATCAAATACAAGGATTATAAGAAATCATGGAAGCAAAAATCAAGGTTTTGTTTCTCAAGGTACAGTATTATCAAAAACTAAGCCCTTTGTCCTATATAACTAATGGCTCAATGACAAGACCAAAACAATTACGCTGCCCAAGCCTGACCAACCCAAATTCTGAAAATCCAGGATCAACATTAAAAAAAAAACATTTTTATTTCAAAATACTGTACTGGTATGAAGTTTGAAAAGGCCACTTTTGAATTTGAGTTAGACCTAGAATTATTTCTATGTTAAAACAAAATTTTTGAGTGACCGACCCTTTGATTTTCAAATATCGCACTGCTTGGGCAACATAACAGTTTTTTGGCCCAATAATGTGTCTATTATATAGCACATGATGTGCAGACCTCAATGAAAATTATACATAATACAGTATACAATGTAAAGTAGAATTGTGTTATACCATAACATTACCAACACCCACTTTCACCATAACACTACCTTCACCCTCTTAACCAGTTCCCAACTACCAGCATATTGCTCATCTCCTACTGAGCTTTCTTACCATCTCCCATCAAATTCCTTGCTATCACTTATCTATATCACATATTATAACCCATTATTTCTAACTCATTACTATTACTCATAATCCCCTTACCATATTATTCTAAAATATGTTTTAGTCTCAATTTGAGATATTTATAACTAATAATTATTTTATTTTTCACAGCCTCTGTTTTTACACACATTTACTTTAAGTACAATTTGCAATTATTTTTTTTTTTAAATTAACACATACACTGTACACACAGATTCTACATTAAGCATTTTGATAAATACAATTCTCACAGCAAATTACACAACAAAGTAACTAATCACATATTTTGTAATTTAATACTCATCATCATCATCTTCCTCATCATCATCATAATCGTCTTCATCATCATCATCGTCATCATCATCCCAATCTTGAACAGTCGTCTTGTCTTTCTGATTCTTACTCGTTTGCTTTTTATCCATGGTGGAGTTTTTCGATTGACCGGTTGAATTTAGCGATGCCTTAGAGCCTTGGTGGGAAAGGTTAAGACGGGTCTGACTACCGCCTCCATTGCTCCCTAACGGTCGTAAACTGTTCCTAAATTCCTTAAATAGGGAGAACAACACAAATTTTAATTAATTTTCATTCAAAATACAGTATGAGCAAAAAGTGCAGAATTTAAATAAAGGGAAAATTTAATGAAATTCAAAGTATATAAAGGCAACCAAGGGGGAAAAGAAATCACGTCAGAGAAAAAAGAAATTTTAGCAGGTCATATAATCTGTTTTTACTACTATAAATCTATTTAATTTTAATGGACTTTACCTCAATCAAGATTTCAATATTTTATGGTACCATATATCATATCATTTATTTCACCAGTTAAAAACAAAAAAGTATGGTTGACTGGCTTCTGACAGCACATACAGTACACAAATACATCCAAGTACTGTATATTAAAAATATATATGTATCTCTTGTTTACAATTTCATTTATAAATTTAAAAGTTAATAACCGTACTTACTTATAGTGCATAAAATACATATACATTTTAAATTTAATTTAACAACAAAATGGGAAATAACAAGCAATATACAGGTAAAATCATCACAAAAGGTGTTTGTGCAAACAGGCAGCCAATATGTTAAATAGCAGTGGTACAGTGTAAAGCTTAGCTCGCACTGCGTCAGCCGTCAGTGACAGTCCGAGTCTGTCGTTGAAAACAATCCATCGCACATCACGCCGTGATGTCTGGGAATTGTGGGACTGTGTCGGCTGACTACCCTTACTATGAGGCTTAATAGTTTACATATCCTTACCTCCAGATCATCATCGTCACTTATAGAATTGATACATTGCCAAGCGTTTGTGTACACTTCTAAACACTTGGAATGGAACAGCATCTCAACTGTCAAGAACTCTCTTAATATAGTCTGAAATACAACAAGAGAAAACCTATCAAATACAGGGCCAGTATCCGGCAGGTGACTGGCTTATTGTTAAGCTTGGTTTCCACACAATCGCTAAACGACATTACCGATTCACCGACAGCTTTTTGTGATGCATATTATTCAAATCAGGGACAGCTACACAGGGGCGGCCGTGCAGTACGATTGCACTGAAAACTCTGTAGCAATAGTGTAGCGATTTTAAGGAACCCAAGTTTTTCTTTATCCGTCCTGCAACGGACCTTTCCAGCATGTCAATTAAACTGACAGCAGCATGTGCTAGTCCAGCAAACGCACATGTATTCCTACAAATAATAATAATAATAATAATAAAGATTTATAATGCACACATCTCCACCGAGTGTGCTCAATTGCACAGTGTCTAAAAATAAAATGCATGTGTATTCCCACAGATGTACAAGTTTAAGTATAGTGGTCACTTTATGGAACCATAGAAAAAATATCCAAGGGCAGGGTTTAGCGGCATTAGGAGAGAGGGAGAGAACTGTCATGTTGAATCTAGATTATATGAAGAAATTACACAATTTATTAATTAATAAATGACAGAGACACTGTTTTTATTAATTCATTCTTAATTATTTCTTCATTATTTATTTATAATCTACCTTAATGTCTTCCATTTTCTTTTTCTCAAACGTGTCCATTTGTTCTTCTAGAGCCCGGTTAGATCTGGATGCATCTACTGATGCCTTCTGGAGTTTTGATTCAGCCTAAAAGAAATAAAATTTATAGTATGAAAACATTCATTAACATTCAAATATCATTTTTACTTTTTACTTTGAGTAGATAACTTGTGAAATTCAGGGCTAATCCAGGGTTATGAAGATGGAAAAGAGCACAACTGTTGTGGCCTGAATTTGATGTCAATCGTAGAACTAAGAATTGGCACTTTTGAATCAAACTGGTCCCACATCCACTTATGCCTCTCCCTCAAACCCACCACTAATTTGTATCAAATTCCACTGACTACCAAGTATACATCTAAAATGAATTAACAATGTGATTATCATTCTACTTTTTGACAGAACAATATAAATACACATGTAATTATCATAGTTTTTATATTTCAATTATTTCTGATTACTAAATTATCATCTATTTTTCTCAACAATTGTTATGAATATACAAGATATACACTACCCAATGTAAAGTTAACTTTCAAAAAATTAACTTTAATACAGTATATGTTGCCATGTGGAATGAAACCATAGGCTTAGCCAGCGAACCGTCTGGCCGTCTTTTGGTGGGCCTACAATTATTAAGAACGGCCACTTTTACCGTGACGGCTTGGACGGCTTGGCTTAATCATTGTTATGAATATATAAAATATACATTACCCAATATATAGTTAACTTTCAAAAAATTAACTTTAATACAGTATATGTATATGCCATGTGGAATGATACCATAGACTTAGCCAGCGAGCCGTCCGGCCGTCTTTTGGACGACATACAATTATTAAGAACAGCCATTTTTACCAAGACGGCTTGGTTTAATCAGCTCGGTCTAGCCTAATTGGGCCTTTCTTTATATCCTTCAAATCTATCAAATGTTACATTAAACTAAAGCTAAATCATATTTACGTTTGATAAAAACAACATTTATTGATTGAATATACGCTTTTTTCGTACCAATAATCGGTGGGGATTTCTAATGATGGGCGTGGCCCACCCATCGGCTCAATGCCACACCCACTGGCTTCCAATTTGGACGGCCTATTTCGTTTTTCTGGCTAAACCCCTGAATGATACATACCTTTTTGAGAACATATTACTATTTCTTACTGAATTCCCACTTGCAAATTACATACTTACATACATAAAGAATATAGGCCAACCCAATAATTATTAAAAAGTACTTACCTGGGACTGTGAAAGTAAAGTAAAGGAAAACAATAGAGATTCATGATAGATCAATAAAAATTGATTATTAACACATACAATAGTTCAATTATTATTCACTCTATACAAAGGCTGCAAAAAACCACTCCATGGGTCAAATTTTTATTTGATTAGCAATACATTCTAATTTGGCTAGTTGACAATAAAATTAATAACTTAAATTTAAGCCACAGGTAAAAGATGATGGGTGCATTATTAATGTAGTAAGCAAGTAAATATAGATATGCAAAAAAGGATACAATCTGTTGCCTGTCTCCCGGCTTCTTCTGCCGAACTTTCTCCAGTTTCTTCTGTTCATTCAGTTCTTTATCCCTTGCCGAAAAAGATGATTTCAAGTCATCCTGTGGATGGATTTAATAGAATTAATTAATAAAACAGAGCAGCATAACTCACAGTTGGTGTAATGGATGGTTGGAAATCACTGTGAGTGCGTTGAACCATGGAGGTCCCTGTGTGCCCCTGGTTCAATTTCATCACTGTTCGTTGTGTTTCAGCTAGAGGGTTGAAATGCAAGTAGTGTATTCTTTTGGAAGAGATGCCTCCATTGGTCCCATGTGCCTGTGTATAGTAGTGGACCCCAAGTGTCCCACAAGTGGTGCGAGTCTCCCGAAAATCAGGACAGCCTCCCACACTCCCTCAAGCAAGCAAAAAGTCTCCCAGAAGCTAATAACCTATCTACAACAAATTCAAGATATTTGCATGTATTTTTTACTAATTGTATTATCAATAGTATCCATGAACTTAGCTTGCGATGGGTAGATCACCAAGCCAAGGGCTTGGACGGCCAACAATTATTAAGGACGGTCACTTTTACTGTGATGGCTTGGACAACTTGGCCTACTCAGTTGTGCCTGGTCTAAATTTAGCAAATTCTTTATATTTTTTAATCTATCAAATGTTGCATTAAACTATTAAAAGCATATTTTGGACGGCCTATTTTGTTTTTCTGGCTAAACCTCTGCACCCTGTACAGCAAAGAGTTAGATTTAATTAAGAAGGCTCATTTACCACAAAGAAACAAATGACTAGTGGAGGTCTTCTGTCACAAAATCTTATACCTGCCAACTTTGTTGGCGTCTGATACGCGAAAAAAAAATGAAATTTGTATATAGCGCCTGCTATGTAAAATCACAAAAATGAGCGCCCTCTTTGTTATTTTTGTTTAAATTGTAGTGATAGAACTGCTACTGATTACAGTCGTCTGTTGGTATAATTTCTTTAAAAGAAATTTATATGGCCTGTATTCCCATTTTAATGACGAATTCACTTCATTTTTTTTCATTTTTTATTTTAGGGTAAAATTGGCTTATACATTTTATCTTTTATTAAGCATGAGACAATACAACGTAGGCATGAGACGTAAAAAATGGATGCCCATGCATGAGACTCACACATTATGCATGAGAGTTGGCAGGTGTTAAAACTAGATTCAAAAGAAAACAGCCTAAAACCATAAAGTAGTAAAATCCATCATATTAAATCCCAGTCCACACTATAAAACAATGCCCAAATATGGTTTATGAACTGATGACATCACATCATGACCATATATAGTCATGATGTGTCATATGGTCATAACATCACATCATGACTATATATGGGCAAACAACAGTTTTTCTGTCAAAGAAAATTCGATAATCTGGACAAGCCTAATATATTTAAAGATACCTTTGCATGCTTGCAAGCTGTTCCATAGAGACTCAACGGTTGAACCACCTTGTACTCAAGTCGCTCAACCTGAGCATGGCGGTAGTCTTGCACAGCAGACAGCTGCTCTGCAAGCCCCGTCATGCCAGCTTTCGTAGTCTGCATTTCACTCTCCGCGTACTGTAACAAAGTCTTGGAAATGTCGTCGCCAGCATCGCGCAACTTGGCTACCTTCCTGGCATATGTTGACATGTTTTGACAGAGGGCTGAAAAGTGTTTCTCGACATTGACGATCCTTTGCTGCGCAAATTTCGACTGATTTTCTCTGCAAATTAAATAAAATGTTGGATGTCAATGTTGTATGTAGTACCTATATACTGTACAAACAATTAAATTACATTGGCTCTTTTTATTATAAGATCAAAGGGCTTCACATAATCAATTAAAAATTCAACAATACAAACAGTGCACATAGGTTACCTGGCTCTTATATCAGATCCCCTCTGTGTCATCTTGAAAAGTGGTCCTTCAGTTGTAGAATATTTGGCTCAGTGTGGCTTATGTTTATATTTCTGTAGGCCTACAGTGTATACAAAATGAATGTAGATTTAAATTATTATGGTATAGAAAGACTTCAACTACTATACGATTTACACACGATAAATTACATAGTAAACGTAAGGACTGGAGCTTAATCCCCAGTTTCTGTAGCGTGAAGCGAATGAAGAGTGTAATACTCCACCTGGGGCGGATTGCTATTAGCAGTCTTTAGACGGTTAATCGTGACATCACTACTGGTCTGTGATTATAGACCATTGCTAAACCGCAGTCTAACCCGTTAGCCGTCTTAAATTTTAAATTTTTAAAAGAATATTCCGCACACTTCTCAGCGTCTACGTTTATTTACGTTCATTTCGATACATTTGCGTGCGTCGAGCACGCATGATGTCGCCCCCAATCTTATGTTACCAGGGAGTGCTTGTTTGCATTTCAATACTCAAAGCCGTCTTAGGGAAGACTGTTTTATAGCAATGGTCTTAGGAATGACTTTAGTAAGACCGTCTAAGTGATAATGCCGGCTTTATTCAAGAAGTTAAGACTACCAGTTAAGACCGTTTTATAGCAATCCACCCCTGGGACGCTGATTCACAGCAGATTACTCCCAGCAATTTGCTGATACCCACTGATACAGCTGGGTAGACTCCGGATAAAGTGCCTTGCTCAAGGACAGAAAGGAAATGCATGGTAAAGGATTGAAAGACTGACTGCGAACTTGAGAAACCAAACCATTTCCGCTGCACAGAACCACTTCCACTAAAAATTTACATAGGATACATGCTAAATGATACAAAGACTTCCAATCATATGTGGCAAAGACAAGCCAAACCAGTCACTTCTTACAAATTCTTAATACAAGGTTAAACAGTAAAATGAAAGTTATAAGATGGTATAAAGAATCATTTAAATCCAACATTTTGTTTTGGAGTTACAGGAGTTTAAACATACAGCTGTTTAAGTAACAATATTTGACAAATCAGTGATGCATTCAAAGTTTACGATTTCAGTGCTTTCTTAAACATAGACCATCATTAAATTGTTAAAAATCTTGTTTTTAAAATGTCAAAAATTAGGAAAATAATAACATAGTAGGATGCATAAATATATAATGGTTAGTTTAGCCTAAATAAAATGGATTTCAAAACTTTTGATATTCCAACATGGTTTTGCCATTTATCTCCAGAAACACGATTTGTGAGGAGTAACTGGTTTGCTTGTCTTTGCCACACACTGTATATTCCAACCAAAATAGCGGTACCGTCATATTCGTACAAGTGAATACAAACCTTGTTTATTTAAAGATACACTGAAGATACACTTAAGTGATGGATGATAATACCTCAAAAACAGCTCAAATTTGGCCCTACCTACTAATTATTCCTACTACACATAATCTAGCCTAGCCTACCTAGTCTAGGCCCTATGCCTAGTTAGGTAGAATAGGCCTCTTCCACTCTACTCACATTTCTATTTCGAAGACTGGCCAAGCCTTGGTCGGATTACAACAGTAAGCGAAGGTCTAAGTTAGGCCTAGTCTAGGCCTATAGGCCTAGTGAAGTACTATCTAACCTAGGCCTAGGGTAGCGTAGGTAGGGCCTACCCAGGCCTAGTAGTAGGCCTACATGATTTCCACACTTATAATACTTATAATACTGTTACAATAATCCAATTTAAACTAAAACTTACGAGGCTTATTAGAGAAAAAAATTATATAACAAAAAAAGACAAAATTAAGCCTACAATGAATCAGTAATTTAGATTGTAATGGCAAGAAACCGTCCACTCTGTTTTTTTTTTTTCGAAACCGTTGTTTATTGTTTTCTTTTTGGATATGTGTTGATATGACGTGCGCCCTCTATAAAAAAAATCGACTTTTCAGTTGAGGACATAGAGATATAAGGGTCCCTTCGTGTCTGTGCTACCCGGTAACCCGGTACCAGCAACTCTCGTCAATTCCAAATTGAAGGAGTCATAGGGCACTACTGAATCAAAAAATTATGTCGAGTCTACACTTTTTATCCTTATCATAGACTCTAAAAATCAGATACACTAATTCTTAAAAAGCTTTTTAAAATTAAATTGAATGAGAAAATATATTTTGCACCTAACTGACGCATAAATAATTTATACTGTTCTTTAATTCCTGTCTTAGACCGTAACATTGGTTGATTGTTTAAAAAATGTTCATAGTAAAAACAATATTCAAATAATTAAAGTTAAATGTAATTTATTGGAAGTTGATAATCTGAGCTTCATCCCGCTATGCGATGCAATGGTTGATTGTATAAACCGGTAAAAATTTAGTGCACCGTACTGTGATCCACTTTTTGTTGTGGAAGTGAAAATCAAAAGGTTAATGATGATGATGATGATTATGATGATGATGATGATGATAATGATGATGATGATGATGATGATGATGATGATAATGATGATGAGCCAAAGAGCATTCCAATTTGTTATAGTTCTATCGTAGATAATGTTCATACCGCCACCAATAGATTTGAAAGCCGCATTTCTGTCTATACCTTACCCAAATGAATACTTAAAACTTGTCTGCAATAGCTTGTGATCAGGTACCGTAATTCTGTATTTTAGGTTTATTTCAATTCTTCCCTTAGACGTGAGGTATGCTAATTTTCAAGGACATTATCATCTTCGGTACAGAACACTTTGTTGATACTGTGATTTACCGGTTTGTTTTGGTATTAAATCCAAGTGGGACCAAGTGACGAACTCTAGTCATTTACCAGCAAAGTGGTTATTATAAGTAATTATGAAGACAATTAAAGACATGAAGAATCAATCGAAAATGTTAGAAATAGAATATATTATTTATAGGCCTAAATCAATAAATTATACGGTACAGTATAAAAAAGAATGTTAAACTGATTCCTGTTTAAAAAACCTATGAGTGTCTAATGACAATTGGAAAGCGTATTTTGTCGTATTCTATAAGTCAATCTCAGCAGCATTCGAGCTGATTTGACCTACGGCCCTATGTGCATGTTCATTCTGAATTTTCCTGTGTTAGAAGTTTTCTTTTAGGTAGTACATTTGTCCCTAATACCAAACAGGCTAGGCCCAACATAGGCTTAAAGGTTGCCTTGTGTAAAGGGTATACGGTAAGATTTGTTAATTTGGTATTAACATTAGGCCTATAGGCCTACTAGACGGGTACTCATGTATTTATCGTACCCTGATGCTTTCTCGCAACCACTTAAGATCCGAAACCAGTCGGCTGTGTTAGCCATCTATTGTGTTCATAATTAACCGAAAATACCTACGAAATCAGTTGCGACTAATCGCATTTTGTGGGGGATCTGTATTGAAATCGTAATGACATCCGTCCTTGGACTTTTTTGTCACCGATTTGTAGCTTGTCTTTCACACAGCATGACTCTTTGCTTCATTTTAACCTAGAAACAACAGCTCGACTGAAAGATACTATACAAAAGGATTTGATGTATGGAATGGTTTATCCGTAGTACAGAATATAAACCCACTGATGGGTAGAGAACTTTTGATCCAGCGGCCAGGGTCTGCCGACTAGGCATTGAGTCAAGGTTAAGGAGTGGAGTTAATTCCATTAGGCCCTATTTTAAAAGTCACTTTTATACTGACAATCATGTCAATCAAGGCTATATA